AGACTCTCCAGTCAAAATACTTCAAACGAGAAACTAATTTTCTAAACGAACGCCAATCATGAACATGTCAATCGTTTTCCATAAAACTAAACGAAAAACTCTCGAGGAAAGCCACGTTTATCTCTGGTCCAATGATCATGTGCTAATATGAAAGAACCCAAAGACTTCAACCTCCTAGCTCATTGAGAGAAGTCTGTGTTCCGCGTGTTAGAGACCTGGAAGTGTGTTCGGGTCGGGTGAGGAGAGGAAAAGCATCGTCCGCGGATCGGCGAGTTGGTAGGTACATACCGAGTCCCGCGCGTACGTGCAAGCGCATTCGAATCTCTTTGTCCCCTGGTGCAGTTGCATAATACTGCGGAGCAGTGTCGCACGCGTTCATCTATGTGTCGAGGGTATCGCATCGAATGCAAACGGGGAAAATACGCAACGTGCTTCGAACGGGGAAAGAAAGGCAGGAGGACAGGGGATGGCAGCGGCGCAGTTTTACGGCCATCAAGTAATTCAGGCCAGGGAGCCGTGTGTTAACGACGATGCTGACCTTGAATGTCAAGACTCCATCATGGACGTCTGCATGCGAACGAGTACAATAGACAGGTATATGTCCCTGTCCTATTCGGCCGCGACCAATCCATCGTAACTATCTACCTAATCTCAGGACTTTCCCTTTTCCTCGTGCAAGCAGACCACTCGATAATTATTTACAATCCACCTTCAGAATTTCGGCCCCTGGAGGACAAAATTCTCTTGGAAGTAATGAACTGTCCATTCCAGCGCGTATGCGAGTCATAAAGTTTTCCGGAGGAGACTAACAGTAACACAGAAGGTTTTTATACAATTTTATTGCTTGTATTAATATTATAACCGATGGTTATTTCATGGTTTTTCTGAAGACCAATAATTATTAGCCGAGGATTTTTTAATGTATTCTTCAATATGTGATCATTGTTATATACTAGAATTATGAAGTAATATTTCGTATAACACAACCATTTTGTTTAGTTCAGTTTATTATTGAACAAGTACTGTAGAACTCTTTTTTTTATATAAACATAGACAAGCCTATCTGTTAAAAAGATTTCGAAGGGCAAGACGAAAATAAAATTTATTTTAAGAGAATATTGACTCTAATTGGGTGGTGGATGTACAACGAAAAACTATTTCTAGTATATAGATGTAAGTTTAAATCTTCATATATTCTTTGAAAAATTTTCACAGGTTGCCGAAACTAATACTTCTTGGAATATATCCATTTGTAAACATTTCAATACTATAACCTCCCAAACAGAAACAAGGGGTTTTAAATCTCCTATCTAAGCATATTATCCGCAAGTCCAAAAGAATTCGTGTATAATGACCTATTATTGTCGTGACTCACGGTTCAGCCTAGGTATACTTAGGGACAAAATACGCAGACTACACGTTTCCAAAGTACTATACTAAATTACAAAGATGTTTTTAGCCGGTAAACGAAGTCGTACGTGGCAGCCGCGTTACGGCGACTAATTTTCCCAACTTTTATTACTCCAGACCCCTCGGTTATAGCATCCTTTCTGTTGGTTCTCGAATCCAGTGTCCCCCGGTCTCGTTAAAGCGATTGATTCATCGCAAACGAACCTGCACCATCATTATTCGAAACACTGAATACCTCGCGATCGACACCTATACGCTCGCGGAAACAATAGCGAGACACCTTTCCGCGTCAATAAAAGTGACAAACATGGTTTCGTATCACTTTGAATTATAGTGAATTCGTGAATCGTTCACGTGAAAAAGGGCTTATGGGCAGGGATTAGGATAGTAACCAGTGCAATAAGCGTTTCTCGAATCTTCGGGAAACCGGATCGATTAATCGATTAAAGAAAGATTACTAGAAAGCGAATTGTTTTCAACGTTTACAATCTTTGGGAACGCGCACTGTCGGGTCCTGCGCGTTTTCTTCCGCGGTTGCAAACCAAATATTTATCCGCGCGAAAGGATACTCGGTGCGCGAAAGACGACCAACGCCGAGGCATAATGCGACTGCTTCCTGATGTGGAACGAATAAACACTTTGCCGCATTCCAAGTGCAATTTCGCAGATTCTTCGCCGCGGCCGGTTGTTTAGCCGTCGCTGCGCGCGTGCGAACTCGTTCGCGCTTACCAAGCAAAACCTTGGCTCAATTATCGCCGGGTCGTTGCTGAATCCGAGGGAAAAACACCGCGGCGATTTTAAATAATCGTGCGCCACTTCAGCAAAAAAAGGAAGAATGGAGATCAATCGCGGATTTAACATTTTATCACGGATCTACTGACAGCTCTTGTTTTTATTCTTTCTTTGTAATGTCAGTGTATTCTTTGTAAACGGAGATCGTGTGGTGGTCATTGCACTTGGTAATGGATTAGTCAGTTATCTGGACGTGAGAAAACATGAATGAGAAATGATTTTAATCGCGGAATAAGATAATACGCCGTTGCGATCGATTCGAAAATCATATCAAAAATGTTTTATTGCTTTGTATGAATTTGTGATTTCAAAAATTGATCTGATTGGAATTCTTCATTAGAGTTTAAAGAGATTCAAGCAAATCTGGGTCAAGTTGCTTGATACCGTATTCACAATTTGAAACACATTTATGGATGGCAATTTATGTAATGTTCTACAAACTTCGTGCTTGAACAAAGAGAACAAAGCCTGAAATTCTTGACGGTTATCCAAAACGAATTTCCAACTCAATTTTCTTAGCAGATTTTATAATATATGTTCAGGAAACGTTAAATGATACCTTTTGAGCATCGTGAAACGCGTGTATTTGATCGGTATGAATAATAACGTATTACCAATCAAACGATATTTGTATAAAAACACTATCAGTTTTCTCTATTCCAACTTTTGAATTACCCTGTACAAACTTTTCTATTTATACTCCAAATTTTAGAGCATCAGCCCCTGTTTTTAGATTTTTTTGAGATAACGATCGCAGGTGCGACTTCATTGTTAATTGTTTTAAAAAACAAACGACTATTACATTCATTGCAGCGGTACACTTTCTTTGAAAGTATAATATCGATAGTAGAAAAATTCTTTCGCTCCCCCACTCATGCTAATTCTAGTGATATTTACTAAATTTAGTTGGTAATTCCCGCCGCGACTCTCATTCAATACTATAAGGGCGAGGAATTAAATAATCAATTCCTCCTATGAATCTAATCAAAACGACAGACGATGCGTCGTCTATTGACAAAATCACCCGTTCATAAGCGCAAATCAGCTGTTCCACGTAGGTAGATTTATCGAAATTTCGTTCTCTGAAACCGTTCTAGAATCATCGTCGTCACGAACGTCTTACGTCAATGGTAAGCGAACGTCACAGAAAGTCGAGCCCGGTTGGCCAATGAATCAACCGCTAACCCGCGAGACGGGCACCATATGGAAAGGGAAATTTCACGCTCGAGTTTGACAACCACGGGTCTGTCGTGAAATTTTGTGCACTGGACGAAGCAGCGTCGGTTATTTTCGAAGCTTCACGAAACGAGCCGACGTTGCGAGCACATACAAGAACGCGGGGAGAGGAGGGATAGAAGAAAAAAAGGAGAGAAAACATATGATAAGCGGTAACCCATGCGAACTCGTATAGTTATTTTCACATATTTTTCTTGTCCGCCGGGATTTCGTTTTCCTTTTCTTTTCTTTTATCCGTGTCTCTTCTTCATTTTCGTTTCGCCAAATCGTCTCGTGCACGCGTTGCCGACGACGACACACGCCGATATCGAAGGATTACATGCATTGCGCGATCGGCTTCAGCGCCGATATTTTGACGAAAGGCACGCCCCTTCGACGACTTTACTTTCGAATCTCGTCCAAGAGGTTAGGATACACCAGGTGGTGCAAGAATCGGGCGATCGTGGATCGCGGCGATTCTCTAGGGTCTAGACACCGCTGCAGCATCGCAAACGTTCTCATGCCTCATGCCTATTTACAATTTGCAACGAGCAACACTTTGGTACAGTAAAAATGTTTAAAGTAAAATGTCTCACGGGTACACGGAAAAATATACAGTCTACCAAACATAACCTCTACGAAACAGCGAGAAGTCGCCGTTTCACGTTAACACGTCGATAATTTTAAATATTACCTACTCATCGGTACAGGAAAACGATAAAAAGAATGGTCGTGAGAAGACTTAGTAGCAAAAATCATGATTCTAAAAACTGATCATCAACGTAGAATGATTCATCTGTTTTCCACGTAGCGCGAGCGTGAAAAGCTAGTGTACCCACTCTTTCGCGAGGAATTTATTCCGGGGATATCGTGTTATTTCTATCGGGACCGGGGGAAAGCCAGTTGTTTTCGATTTGATTCTGGAGCGGTCTGTAAGTCGAGCTAACAAACTAACTGCCTTGTCAGTCCTCTTATTACGTAATACCGTTGTCAAACCATACGGACACACCGTAGCGATGCAGTCGGGTGAGTCAAGTTCGCGAAAAGGGCACTTGCGATCGTTTTGGATTGAACCACACTTGATTTTTCTGTCGGCCGTGCTGTGCGGCTACAGAGAAAAAGAGTGCGGCCACTAACCAGCTGCTAACGAGCCAACGTGGCCTCGTACGCGTTCCTTCCAACGATCTTTTTTGTACCGATTTCGACAACATAGCCGTAACACATTTGTCATCGGTCACGAATAATAAACTTTTCATAGTGATTCCAGCGTGCGGCCACGATAATTTTAATGGACAATCGCGGTGTAACGAAATTCCGCACGAAATATGGCAAGCGAGTTGACGATCGGGTGTCTTTCCTTGGCACGACATTACGACACACGTACGCACACAGGCGCAGCACACGAGAGCGAGCGAGTGAGCGTACGCGCGCGCGTGCTTACCCGCTCGCTGTCGTGACAACGTGTAGAGGCACACACGTATACACCTACACACGCGAAGAGCCATAAGCTCACGATCCTAGCCTATACATAAGGAAAAGTGACCGAAGCGAACAGACGAGAGATTCGATTAAGATTTACTTACCCGATTCTTAAGGAAGTCGTCGATGGCACGTTGCGCCGAGTCGGTGAGCTTCACGAAGATCAGGGACTTATTTTCGTGAAAATTACTGTGCGACGACAACCCATACTGGACACCTGCCACCAGCGCCGCCATTTCTCTGTCTCTCAGCAGCGGGTTCTCTCTCGCACACGTCCCCCTCGTAAAAGCGCACACAGCTGACGTCCTTGTTGGTTAAACGAAGCACTTTTTTTTCTTTTTGTTTCCGTTACCTTTGCGTTTCAACCATGCGATACGGAACAGCTCATACTACGTCAACGCGATAACACTTGTCGCGACGGTATTTCCACCCGTGGAACAAAACGTGTAACAAGACGGAGAGAGAAAGACAGAGAAAGAGAGAAGTAGAAGGGAAGAGAAAAAAGAAGGTAGAGAGACAGTGAAAGAGAGAGAAAAAGACATAGAACCCCCCCCGAAACAGAGGATTCTTCTCACACTGGCCCCGCAGCTCTGGCACACACGCGTCTTCCTTAGGTTTCCCTCGACGTATATTTTCCTTTTATAATTTTTTTTTCACGCTCTCCACCTTTGCCACTTCTTTACGCGGTTCGTTCTCCTCGTCACGCTTCGAAAGTGGTAGCACCCGCGCGTAAACCACCCTCTCGCACGTTCCTGGTCGTCGGTTCCTCTCAACCGTCACATATTAGCGCGCCGACACGTTTCATTTCAGATTTTTCTCGCGATTGGAGAGAGCACAGCGCCCGTCGTTTTGCCGTAAGGAACTACACAACTACACTTTCGAACGACCACCTGGTAGGCGGGGCTTACGGGAGAAGAGTTAACCAATCCTGAGCCGTGTTGGGATAGCGTGCGACCGTCGACCGTACTGTCCTCCTGCGGTCGCAGTCAACGATCGACTGACATTATTTTCCTGCAATGTGTGCCTTCTTGTATACTACTGCTGCCATCTGATTGTACGATTTTGTAATCACGCGTACAACAATACGGCAAGGAGAATATAATCGAAGAAATTCACAAAATTACAATTTTACGCATGAAATTAGTTATATGCATATTGTATGTAATATGCACAAAACACATTATTAAGTTCAGCTCTTGCAAATAAACATTAAGATAATATCGTAGATAGTAGTAGATATTAAATTATAATTATATAATTTCTTTTATTTCTATTTGTATTATATTGTTGTAATAAATTGATATTTGGATATTTTCATCAAAGTTTGTGTACATAAACCTTTTAAGTTATGAATTGTTCGGTAATTTTCTTGTTATATTGTAATTATAAATATGTATGTATGCATATACTAAGTATATAAGATTGGTAGTAAATCGTCTCCTTTCTTGCAACGCTTCCTGACTGTGTTCTCAGAGGATGAGAGCTTATGAATTGTGAATTAATTGAAAACTACTAGTCACTGTACAAAACTGAATATTCCTAGTAGAAAACGCATTGTACACTTACCTATCTAATAATAGCACGTGAATAAAATATGATCATAGAGCATACTTATAGAGGCGAAACTTATGTCGAAACTCTTGAAGTTCAGCCCTTTAAGTTGGATGTTCTTGGGTCTTCCCCTCACGGAGAGTTACCCTCTCCAACCTACTTTCAGCTGTGTGAATGCTATAAGTGTGTAAATATGTAGATACACAGCTGTTCACGCATACAATCTCGGGAAGCTTCCAGAGTAGAGGTAGTAGGGATACCCTTGAACAGAGTCACTAGCTTGAGGGGAAGCATTCAACATTTCTGCTATAGATGACAATTCTAGCAGTTTTTTCAAGTCATAGAATAAATAAAGAGAAGTTTACATGTGAAGAATCGACAAGTTCGATATATATGTACACTTAATATTTCAAAGTTGTGTAGTTGCATAAATGCGCACTTGTATCGTAAAGTTTTGTTACTATATTCATGGAACATTTTCTCTGAGAGCTCTCTCTTGGTACTACTTGGTTATATTATAACGTTTATGGCAAAATTTTCTACTGTCACAATTTCAATGTACTGAATTTGTTGCTATATTCGCTGTTCGAGAAGAAAGTAATATTTATTAAATTTGTATCATTATTACTTTTATTATATATAATCGTGAATCATGGTAAATTACTTTGCCAGCCAAGTAAACCTCGTTATTGCTGGGATAATAATCACAATGTGCTGTTACCCAATGTTAAAGGATCCATTCAAATCTTCTTTTTTTAGTATATGTCCAAGTCTGGACTACAAATTATACACGAGGATGGAGGTACATGTTTAAATTATACAAATGTTGTTACTTTTCTGTTTAGATTTTCTTATGTAATCGATGTTCGTATGTATTCTCAACTATAATAATTTCGTATCTTTTATCTGATTAATTGGAGTATTGGAATGCACATTGGAAGTGCTAATTCTTGTAAATTATAAAATATATTAAATATTATGATGTATTAAAAATAACCTATTTTCAATATTAACTGCTATCATTTTCGTTGCAGCCCCATGTTCTACAAGCAGAGGAACAAAAGTGGAAAACAAGCAAATGAGCAAATGAATTGATTTGTTTGAATCAGTCAATACATTTTTTAAATATATCAGTACAATCGGGATGTATAAAAATTAATGTATGTGTATAAAATGAATATTGTACATACCTGATGATAAAAATATAGCCTAATATGTAACGTACAAAAGTATTTATGGAATTATTTCAAAATCAATATATAGAATTAGAATAGATTTAGAAAATATAACGAACACTACATGAATATATAAATGTATAATATTCCCACCAATCTGGTCTTTGGTGTGTAGTTCGTATTTATCCTTTTAATGTGGATCAGTTTAAAACACAACATTATTTATTCCATTCATCCTGTTCTTAAATGAATTGAAAACAATTAATATAGAGTTAATATATTTGTTTAACATTCTACTAAGAAATGAAATTATAATTTTTTTAATATTTACATATTTGTAGTCGTACAACTAATTATCGTCCATCAAAGAACAACTTCTGACTCTATATGTATACTTACATATAAATTTATAAATTGGTTTTAATATATATATGTGTGTGTGTGTGTAATGCGAGGGGGAATTTAAATAAATTAATCCCAGGCTGATAGGTTTTGATGATTTATTAGAGTCCCTGGATCACCTTCTCCTGAGGCAGCCCATTCCAATAAGAAAGCCATCCTTTCTCAATCTCTTAATATTTACCATCTTATATCGCATACATTTTTTTTGTTCCGCTGTCCATTTAAGAGCACCCTTTGGATATGGTACATTTACGCAAATGAGGAACGAGAAAACTGTGCGAACGGACAACGGGTAATGAACGAATGTATCATTTGTCTACCTCGTCGAGTTAATTGCGCTAGCGTCGTTCGGTTATTCTCCTATTTTTGCGGGGGCACGATGGATGCGTGTATGGCGGGACAGTTCAATTTTATTTACTTTTCTTCTTTTTTTTCAGTACATTAAGCAAAGCGTGCTGCGTACATTGCTTGGGTGGATCAAGGGAATATCATCGTGTGGAAAGTTTAGCCGACAGAAGTATACGCTCACCATCGTGTCACCGCATGTGCAACGTGTAACGGCGTCTCAGATGCTGAACTTCATTAACATTTACAAAAGGAGGACGAGTAACAATTTCTCCACGTAACGAGCGTCGTCTTTTTGGCAATGCTTCCGCTCCATGTGATTTCGGGCGAACAAAAATCGTGTAAAACAATTCCTACTCGTAGTTTGACGTTCTTCGCGACCCAGTAATGAAGAAAGGAAAATAAAAGGTGGAATGGGCATGATTGATTACAGCATGTAGCGTATTGTAGCAGATGGATACATGAAAAGCGGGTACACGAATACATACTGAACGTAGAAATCACTGTGATCTGATGGAACCGGGTATTTAAAAAAGAGAAACGGAAAAGTGTGTTTTCGTTGCTGCTTCGTCTTCTCGCTGAATTTATCTGTTCCTTAACCGAACTCACTGGAAATTATAAAGACTCCCAGCCTGGGTTTCATTCGTCGGATATCTCGCTTACCAGGCAACATCGGGCCGCAAATGTGTATATATATCATGATCATGTATATGTACACTCGTCGTAAATGAATATTATATATATGTATATGTACCTTTATATATATGTATATGTACCTATATATATATATAATATGTGCAATTGTATGTGCAATATAGTCTTGCGGATACACGTTTGGAATGCAATAATATCTTACACGTGCGCGTAACTGTTGATGCGAGGAACAAAGCTAAGAACGAAAATAATGAATTCTAAAAGAGGTGATCGTGGGTAATAAACGGATGCTTCGTGTAACGCCGGCGCGACGAAGAACATCCATGCCCTTAATTACAATGACAACAATGACGGTGATCGTGGCGAAGGCATAGACAATGATAAAACAATGTCGACAACAATTTACGTAGCCATATTAGTTTCTCTCCTCTCCCTACCGATTACCAGTCGAGTGGATTAAGGGGCCTCCGACGAAACGAAGAAAATAATTAGCAATCGTTACGTAATTGCTAGCCAAAATCCAAGTCAGAAGTCTCCGATGCAGACGTTAAGCATTACGCGAGATTGACGGATGATCAAAGAAAACTTCGGTTGACATTTACGCCTTCTCGGATTCGCGTGAATCTTGTAAGGTCTGAGTTTGGATCGAATAAATTTTTCCGTCAGAATTCAACGCCCGACGTAGCTTAGCTTCTAGATGAAAAATGTACACGCCCGTTCGTTTCAGAGGAGGCCCTCGAATGGCAATCGGTGCGCGTGCTCGGTTCGTGCGGCAAATACGAGTACGTTGGTGTAACATGTAGTCGCGGACTTAAAACTCTATCTACGTAATTCGTGGTAATAACGATATCCGAGCGTTCCTCTTCAGGCGTAATGATATGGTACATGGCACAATGATTCGACGACGAGAAAACTTTGATCGACCTCCCTCGTTTACCTGTTTTCTATTATCGTAAGATTATCTCATTATATACTGCTCTCAGTCGATTCACCTGTCTGATAGACACTTACGCGATTAAAGTTGCCGCGTGTGTATTATGCGGTTCTCATGCTCCTGAACAGCTTTGCCATCTAATTATTCTTCTCCTTCGCTCGCTCACACTGTCTCACGTCACGCGCGTTTCCTGGCTTATCGATCGAGCCTTGTTTGCCTCGTACACACATCGCGGAACGAAATTACACTCCTTCTGTGAAATGTTTCGATGACCGTTAAGTGAAAATGAATACTTGAAGAAAACTTTGTTCCGGACACTCGAAAATCGTAAAGCAAGAAAAAGTGAAGATAGTGTAGATCTGTATTTCTGGTGCGTCAACGATGACACGCGATGAAATAGGCATGAAACGATTGAATTCAATTGGGGATGCGCGCAGACAAGATGAGGAAGCGAGACTGATAATTTTTTATTCGGATCAAGAATAACGATCAATCCGGCCAGAATTGTCAGATGGTCAATGAAATATCATAGAGAATGAATAAGGAAACTGATCCGAATTAACGAATGAATAAAAAAATCCGACGAAATGATTGACAATACTGGCGTCGATCGATCAACGTGGGGAGTTGTAGTTTTGTGGGCAGAAGTTCGATGGCGATGGTGGTTTCAATCGTACAAGCCACTCAGAAAATAAGCTCCCGTGTGAGTGAACGAACGAAAGTGAAACATTTATTAATAAAGACCTGGGTATTCGGTATCATAGGTATTATTCTTTCTTTTTTGTGTTGAATGTGCGTGTTTGACTCGGATACAATTGCTTTTCAGGTTTATCTATAACTCGGAGGCTGCGCAATGACGTGTCGTTTTCTTTTTTTTTCTTTTTTTTAATGTACTCCCGTTTCTCCTCGTTCGCTTGTTTCTTTTACGCGTGAAAAATTTTGATAACAACGGTGGCACACTCTCCGTGCGGACGACGAAAATGTACTTCTTCACTCGTTACGATATAATTACCTA